TGCCAGTGAGGAAAAAGATCACATCCCCCAGGAAGATGAGAGAAACAACACAGAGGAATGTCTTCCAGAGGCCAAGGAAAAAGAGAACGGTATTGTGTTTGCTCTACTAGAATGTGTTGGAGTCTTTTCAGGAGGAATTGTCAGCATTTTATCTGTTTTAGAAAGCAAGCATGTAATCAAAAATATCCCATGGACCACAGCCAAGAACTTCACAGTGGAGAGAGGACAGCAGCAAATTGAAGAACTAATTTCTGTGAGTCAGAATTCTATCCACTCAGGAAGGCCACACTTTCTCACTGTTAAGAAATATGAAAAATTAAAGAAGAGCACCTCTGTTCCTTTTTAGCACCACCCTCAAGTCAGCTCTACTAGACATAGGGAGTCTTAGTGTGATGTGTTTGTTCAACAGACATGGGACATTCATGAAAGCTGGCTTTACCACTCAGAATTTCTTGAGGAAGAAGAACTGAAGAACAGCAAGAGGTACCATTATAGAGCTTGCTGGGGCCTCCCAACACGTAGAAAACCCATCCCACGAGCAACAGCAAGTGTCTACTTCATTATAGTGATCTCCAAATTCAAACCTGACGTAAGTACTCAGAAATGGTGTGCATGGACTAGTCCTTTAAGGGACAAGAGTACAGTGGCATTCCTGAGGCAGGAAAGTGCCAGGACAGTGGAGAGGCTGGTGAGGAGCCAGCAGCTCTTGTGAAGATGCTGACAATGCCTGGCCACGTCCAGAAAATGTCAGGAGGTTTAGATGTGGCCTAAAAGAAACATGTCATCGGTTGGCAAGGAGAGCAAAACACAGAGCAGGAGGCTGGGTTAGTTCCCAAATCACTGACTAACAAAACTCGACAAACAGAATCTGGCAGTATCCTACATGATCAGCTTGAAGTTTGCACCTGTACAATGACTCCTTGAAACCCAAGAGAATAAAAAGAAATAAAACTGCACTGAGTAGACTTCTTACCTCCAGGTTCAAGTCATACTGAACCTTAGTGTTTCTACTTAATAGCTATGGATCCCCAAATATTATTCTGTGGTTTAACCTCCAGCTGGTAACTAAGCATCACAGACCTGCTTGTTCACTCCTTCTCCACTACTATGGAGAATTGAAAGTGTAAAAAAAGTGTAATAATATTAAAAAATAAATAAAACAATAGCAACAAATTGGGGAAAATAAAAACAAACTGAGGAGAAAACCCTATGAAAGACAAGTTGTGCAAATGAAAACAATTTCTCACCACTCACCAACCAATGTCCAGCCAGTCCCTGAGCAGCATCTTCCCTTCTGCCCCAACCAAATATCCAGGTTATTTTTAAAGTAAATATTAGCTCTCACTTAATTACAATTTCTGTTTTTTGAGGGGCTGTACATGGCCTCTGCCCTGTCTCTGCTGTGTTGCAGACTGCACCTGTGGAGGTGTTCTACAGACTGGAGTCCAGCAGGCTGATTCGGAGGTAAATGTTATTACTGTTCTGTTTTAGCAAGCTTTTCCATTCCAAAACCAAACAGGGAGCTCGATACAAGTAAGTTTGCAATAATAGCAGAGGAGTGGTAGTTGTCAAAATCTGTCTCTGTGAAATGATCCTGCTTATCACTAGCTTCATCCCCAGAGGCTTGAATAACCCGTGGGCATTTGCACTCTCAGAAATTTCTCCTGATTTACATGGGTCTAGGTGGGGGTCTTTATTGCAGCAGATAGCCTTACATGGTGGATAAAGGCCAACTCTCATCTGGCCAAACTTGGATTCAATATTATGCTTACAATCTACCTTTTTATTCCATTTTCCAGGCCAGAACAGTGTCAGTTTAGAGAAAAGTGGCTTCAGGACATCATTGAAAATAAAATAATGTGTGCAGAAAGACTTGCTTCCCGATGAGCAGCTCCAATTCACCATTACCAATACTCTGCTGTGGAGAACCAAATAAACATGATGAAGGGAAAAAAGCTCTTCCTTAGCAGCATTTCTACTTTGTGGATAGATAAAAAGCATTGAACCTGTGCAAAATCAGCTATGCCCTGCCATGGCAGCTGGCTGTGTGTGACAGCCCCTGGCAGGTACGGGTGGGGACAGCAGGATGGAACCAGGTTCCAGGGTGTAAATGGGAAGAGGCAGCTGGGCAGGATTTGTGAATGCCAGGTCTGTGGAACTCCAGGGAAAACATTATAGGACTTTAGGACTTTTATTTTCTTGATACAAATATACAAGACATCTCTGCTGCTAGACTTAGAGGAACAAAGAAAAATAAATTAGGGAAACGAAAAAGAACCAATTTCTAAAAACCATTTTGTTTTAAAAAACATTTGAAAAAAAGAAGTTCTAAGAGATGTGTTTGGAAATATGCAGTTGAATCAAAGATAACCACCACATAAGCACTACCTGAGCAAAGCCTCCAAGCACAGAGTTTAAAGCAAGCCATGTAATGCTGCTGAAACAGACCAAAGTAAAATACTACAGGAGTTAAAACAAGGGTTTAATCTAGAACACTTCCATAAACAAAAGCATTTCAAAGAAATTGGAAGATACATCCTTGTTACCACCTGTGTGCATACAGGGGTTCCAATCACTGCACCCCACTGCACTGATGCCTATGTATAACATAGGAGAAAAAGAAGCAAGCAACTTAGTTCTTCACCATGTGTTTCAGTGGTTGAAGATCAGACCCTATTACTGTTACTTCACACCTCAGTTGCCATCTGCTTGCTCTACAGTAACTGAAGCCCATCTGTATTAAATTACAAACTCATTTACAAAATATATACACGTCTGGTTTGAATCACAAACCAAACTCAAGTGTTTGGAGGAAAAACCTAAATTTAAAAGATGTGAAAAAATAGTGGACTGTCCTGGATCTCAAAACAGGAACACAGGAGTTCCTTTATTTTTGCTATTGGTGCTAGTAGCTTGTTAAAGGTCTTTCCCAAGCTAAGTGATCCTATGATTAATAAAAATAAATGGCATAAAAACCCCACACTTCTTGGTATTAGGTAACAAAACCTTCCCATGGGATCCTTTGGCTTGTCGGATTCAAAGTGCAGAACATTGACACCTCTAATCTTCCCCGCCTGCTCCTGCCTTGTAGCCTTTCTCTTTACAGGGATTCCTTGTAGATGGTAAACAAACCATCCAAGACAATCTGATGAAAATAACTCTGTTTCCTTGACACAAGTAATCCACACCTGAGGCTTGGACCTGTTGGGTGAAAGGTACTGCAGCACCTGCAGCTTTCTTCAATCACATCTGTACTGTGTTAGCTGCCATGTAGTGCAAGCTATGGAGTACAGCTCAAATGAAGCATTATTTTTCCTCTTTGCCTTTAGTCTTTCTGTAGACCATCTCTCGAAAGCTTGCAAGGATCTTATTCTCTCGTTTCCTCCTCTCCTCCTGGTTGAAGGATGCCAGAGCTCTCTTTTCATCCGCGCTGTAGATCTGGTTCTCCTTCCGCAGGCGCACGGCTTCCATGCGCCGGTGTCTGTGGGGGAGAACACGGGGTACATCAGCATGGGCAGGGGTGTCAGTGCCCTGGCACAGCCTCCAGCCATCAGCTGGCCTGAATGTGTTCAGGGGCTTTAAATAAACATACTGAAGTACTAAGGCCTGAACAACAGGTCCTGAGCCAAAGTTGACCTCTAGATGAACCTTCCCACAAAATGTTATAGTTGTATCCACTCATTACCGGTAATACCCATGATCATTAGTGAAATGTGTGATAAGAATACATTTATCTTTCTGCATTGTGAAGCTAGACAAAGGCATGAAATCAGACATCTGGCCTTGTTTGAAGGTATATGATCAAAGCCAGCTCCCCTGGCTCCTCCTTGAGCCCTGCCCAGGCTTTGGGCAGAACCCAAGAGGAGGATGAAACCACATGTTCCTGCACTAGAAGTTGTGTAAGCTTGTTCTACAGTCTAAAAGCTGGGCCCTCTCATAGTGAAGATGGAGGCTTTGCCTACAGGTGGACACACCACATAGGAATTCCCAGGAGTGGTTCTCCAATCCTTTGCTGTGACTGGGGCTCCCCAGCTGATGTGCAGATATGGCTTATGGTAAAGCATCAGGGTAACTGGTGATGTATCTTTCATAATCACTCTAAGCAATCTTTTGCCGTAATGATTAGATGTATTACTCAGCTTATCCTTTGTAATTATTTGCAGTTTTGCACTGTAGCAAATTATACTTAGTCCTTAAAGCTGGTATCTGAATCTTTTGTGCTGACCCTGCCAACTAGCAAAACAGATACCTAAACTAGATAATCTAAACTTCACACTAACCTTCCCAGGAAGGAGTGTGGTAGAGCAAGGAACTGATTTCTGAGGGTGTCTGTTTTCAGGCAATCAGCTAAAAGCCTCCCCAACCCCCAGGGTGTCAGCTGCTGGCTCACCAAAATTTAAGTGAGATTCCTGTTATCATAGAGAAAAAAGTGCAGCCAACCTCTCACACATTAATCCATCTCCTGCTGAAGGGACAGCACATCCCCAGGGCTGTCCAAACAGACCACCTTTGATCCACCTGACACAAGCACCCCTTCATTTGAAATAATTAGAAGAGTATTGCCTGTAAAGAACTTTTGCTGTTGAGGAGAAAGTGTCCTTGAAAAACTCCCTATCCATCTATAGCAATGGGGAGTTTAGTGTCGATTGTTGCAAGCAGAGCACCTTCTCCTCCATGCTTGCAAGTAAAGCTTGGAAGAAGCCTTCTGTTCAGCCAGCAGAGAAAGCAGTTCTTGAAAATTCCACTGAACCACTGCCATCATCAAAACTATACCTGCTGCCACTCATGACATAACCAGAGCTCTCAAACGAAGCGATCTCTTCACTTGTCAAGCCGATTTCACCTCTGCGGGGAATGCGTTTCCCTGCTTTTACATACTCTGCCATGGCTGCACCTTCACCGGGCAGGAGGGCGTGTCCATAGCTAAAAAACAAAAGTGGTGCTTTCAGTAGTTTCAGATAGAGAGAGCCTGAGCTAAACATCCAACTTCCCTCTTCTCTACTGTATACAGCTGTGTTTTTGAACACTTACTCTTTCCCACATATTGGCCTGTTTCTTCCTTATGGCAACACTAGCAACGACATCTCAAATTATCAGCCGAGTTCATTCTAATGACACTACGAAGTCACAATACTGCAGATCTTTAGAATAAAGGCACTTACAATTGATTTTTCTAGGAATCAAGGCTAAAAAGCATAAACCAGACTCTTCTACCCGAATTCAGGCCAAGGGAAAGCCTAGCAGCACTAGAACTTCTGTCTGTGAGTTTCTGGCACAGCATTTCTCCCTCTGCATGCCTTATTGTTGCAACAACCCTTTTGAACAGTAACTTTCACACTTGATTTACTTTATTTGATCAAAGTATCATTAGAGCTGGTTACTCACTTCAAAGGCCTGTCATCCTGAGATGCATGAGTTTTGGGAGCCTCTGGTCCAATCAAACTATCAGCTTCAGTATTTTCTGCAACAATCAAATAATGAGGAAGATTAATCTTGTATCCATTATTCTTTGTTATCAGAAGGGTTATACAGGTCAGCAACACCTAACAACAAATTCACAAAAAGGACATCAAGAAGTTTCCATCCAAGTTTAAAGTCAGGTGAACTTACTTGATCTCTCTATCCAGAGATCATCCCCTTGAAGCATTTCATCATCGGAATCTTCGCTACTTGAATCACTGGATTCCCTCCTGCTCTTCTTAGATTTCTTTTTCTTATACTTCTTCCTGTGGTAAAGCCAGACAGACATGCTATTTATCAAAATTTAAGATTAAAGAAGGTGCTTGGAATCATACTCAAATAATTAGTTTCTCAAGGCAACTTCCACCTATAGGAAGAATGCTGTCCGCTGTTTCATACAAAACACTTTACACCAAAGCCAAGACAATATATATGTTCTATTTTAACTTTCATAGAGTGTTAGAAAGTGGCTATACAGAAAGTTGTTTATGCTGCACAATTGTGTAGATTTAAATAAAAACTATCAAAATAATATTATTTGCCAGCTCTTGCAAATGACCTAAGGTCCTCAGGCTCCCTGAGGGCCTGCAAAGAAAACTGAGCTGCCCTCCAGGCAACAGCAGCCAAAATGATACAGCAACCACAACACTTACTTTTTGTTCTTCTTTTTCTTCTTCTTGCTTTTCTTTTTATCTTCATCTGAAAAAAGAAAGTGTATGTATTATCAAAAATAAATTATTAATTATAACTAAGTAGTTTACTGCCCTGTGAATAACACGGCATACCTTTTACATCCCCAGTATTCACAGAGCTGTAGGCTCTTTGACTCTCTCAACTCTAGCCCTAAGCCTAACCCCATCACCAGGGGTGGTGGTCAAGATCAGAAAGATGTAGGAGCAGCACAGTTGGGGCTTTGCTGGGATCACCTTGGAATGCCTTTTCCAGTCCCAATGTTCCTGTGACTCGCTCAACCCTAACCCTAAGCCCTAGCCCTAACCCAAACTCAATAATATGGGTTTTCCAGGTCAGAATGATGTAGGAAAAGCAATGTTGGGGCCTTGCTGGGATTGCCTTGGCATGCTTTTTCCAGTCTCAGTACTCCTGGAGCTATAGGCTCTTTCACTCTCTCAGCCCTAAGCTTAACCACTCCCCTAACCCTACTGCTAAGAATTATACTAACCACTACCCCTACCAATTAACCAAACCACTACCCTAAACCTGAGCCTATTCCCAGCACTAACTGCCTCCTCCAGCATGCCCTAGTACACATCCTGATGGGACTTGTTTATACTGGGAAAGTGTTAGGAGAAAGGTCCCTGCAGTACTGGTCGATATGAGAACATATCAAAGAGATCTCTGGCATGAGAGGCCCAGTGGATGCTAAATTCAGAAATCCAATTTCCTGAGGCTACACTGCAAGCTGAGACCCTCTTGTCTTACCACTGGAGCTCTGCTCAGACTCTGAGTCACTGTCGCTGTCCTCAGAATGTTTCCTGC